AAGTTTGGTGGCTCCATTTTGTGAGTGGAAGTTTGGGGTTTAGGATTTAGGGTTTAGGGTTCAGGGTTTAGTGTTTAGGGTTTAAAGTTTAGGGTTTAGGGTTTAGGGAATTTAGCTGTAGTTCAACCATGAAACGCTTAAATTGGTCCACAATCACCGAATTCGCAGCAAAATAATTCCAAAATGCTGAGATGTCGTAAAAGGGCGCCATCTGCTGCGCTGTTGCACCCTGAAGCCTTAAACCCTGACCCCGAAACCCTGAACCCTGAACCCCCGAACCTTAAACTTGGAATTTGGCAAGCTTGAATCTGTGGCTAGTAAGCCTTTGACAAAGACCCCACAAAGAAGACAATAACTTCACCGTACCCCTCCATCCTAGCTTGAACTATCAGTAAACTGCTCTATAAAGCTTAGTCCTTCAGAAGAGCACTCAAGATGGTGCTTGGCATGTGCATGCCTCCCAGGTGCTGCGCAGCTTCCTGCACCTCCGAATGCGACCTGTGGGAAGGTGAAGTTTAGGGTTGAAGGTTTGGGGCTTTGGAATTTAGATTTGTCAGGGGTAAAGGGTTCGGATTGGGACAGCTCGGGTTATTCCGCTGTGGTCTGATGGATTGTTTGTGGGCCTGTCTTGATCTTCCCTGGTGCTGGGGGTCGCATTCTTCGCTCTTGTCGGAACTTTGTAGTCCCGCTCTGCAATCCACTCCACCGGTTCGCGGTTGCACCTTGCTCGGAGGAATGAGACAATAAACACTAGGGCGCGCCCGCTAGACATGCACTTCTTGTATGGGTTCAAAGTAGAAAATAAGTCTAAAAAACAAAGGTTACACACTCTGTACATGTTGATTACTCGGTGCATTGATGGATCTTCAGCTTCAAACCCTCTAGACTATAATCTGAACAAGGCGCTTGTCGACGACAAGCTTGCTGTCCTGAAAGATGTTCTCACTGACCCCAGACGGCCAACAAACCAAGCCCGGGTAGAGAAGCGCCTGCTTCCTGTTGTGGTGCGGCTCGGACATGATGACATTGAAGCCGGTGTTGCCAATGAATTTTGCATCCAGTTTGTCCTCCAATCGTCTCACCTGTTCGTGTCAAGCTTTCTAGATTCTAGGTAGGGTTTTATCGGAAGCATCACGTGAATCTGCTGCGGGCTCGAGGGATATCCAATTGGAATGCCACACACACACGATGGGGCAAATGTTACGGTACCAACTACTTTGGCTAGGAGATGCTAGGAGCCCTGACTAGTAGATACCAAACCCCCGAATCCCCAAACCTTGCCTATAAGCCTAAACCCTAAACACTTTAAGAACGAAAATCATCAGTTCAAAAAATGTTCGTGCTAGCTTTGACGTGGTACCTCCCCACGAAGGCCCGCTACGACCTTGGCACTCGGCAACAGAGGAACAATCACCACCGCGGCAGAGTGGGAGGGCATGTGCTGTAGCAGCACGCGAATGGCTTCGGTGACGTGGTTGAAATCATCCTGCCCCAAGCGTCCGAACTTGCTCAGGTCCGCCCAGATGATTGCTGCGTCCGGACGGCAAGCATTCATCCACTGCGCAGGGACAGCATTGCGTCGATCCTATTCCTCACTATACACCCCAACCACAACACCCGCCCCGGACCCACACAACCCCCGAACGTCCAAAACATCCACACCCCCCAACCCCCCGACGAAACCCCCCCAACCCCCCCCAGCACCCGCCACAACCACCATGACCACGAAGCAAAGGTCGACCCTCCCCCACCACGCCAACGCCCCAGCAGCCCTCTGACTCACCCCACCACCGCCACTCCCACCACACCACCTCCCGCCCCAATGTAGTGGAAACATAGGCTCCCAACGTCACATCCCATGGTCTCAAGCTGAAACCTAAAGGTTTAGGGTTGAGGGTTCAGGATTTACGGATTAGGATTTGGCAGGGTTTAGGGCAAGGGGATAAGGGGCCTAACCAACGAGAAGCCTTCTTGATCTCTTCGAGGGCATCCATGTCCTTGTACAGGCCGTGGCGGTGCCTGCAGTTGTTCTCCATGAACTCAATGACAAGGCTGGATCCGCGTTTGTTTTCGGCCCGGATGTGACAGACCTTGGCCAACTGCCTTGCCCTGCCATTCTTGTGAACCTCCTCAAGGTAGGAGACGAAGCTAGCCAGGTCCAAGGAAATCTTGTACGTGTCAATCTCGAACTGCTTTTGGACGCTTTCGTTGTCCAGCTTCGTAAGCTCATCTTCGCCCTGCTTGATCAACGTTGCTGTCGTAGCGGTCTGAACATGATCAGTCCACACGCTGAGGTCGCAGGGCCTGATGTCAGCAAGCTTGAGCACACAAAACTTGTCGAGCTCGGTGTTGTAGTCCCTGACTTTGCAAAGCGCACCAAGAACCCTGTTTCGTAAGCCCTACAGCCGACAGCCCTAAGCCCTTCGAAATGCACATATTTCACTAAGAACCTTGCACCCTAAACCCTATAAGCCCTAAACCCTAAGCCCCTGAAGTTTCAAGAGCTAAACCATAAGTTTAAACCCCTGAACTCCAAACCCAAATAGTTGCAGACTAGAATCCCTTCGAGGACCTTTTGGGCGACAGCCCTAAGAGTGCTCGCGGAAAAGAGAACACTGCCGTCATCACCGCGAGCCTTGCCCATTTCCTCCATGGCCCACATGACAAGGCAAGTAGAGTCCATGAGACTGTCCCATGCATCCAGGGACAACCTCGCGTTGGTGGCTGTTCGCACTTGCTTGCGCTTGATGCTGAAGAGGAAATGGACACGCTGTAGGAAGAACGTCTGTTTCGAGCGTGTCACAGTCATGATGTCACGCCAGACGCCGTCACTGCTGGTAAAGCGCCCGGTCGATCCCAGGTGCCAGCGAGCCCCCTTCACGCACTCGAGTGTGTACGCGGATTCACTCCAGACATACTGCTGCAAATGCCTGGCCATGAGGACGCGCACCTCATCAGCTACGCTCTCGATCAGCACCTTGCAGGGGAGAGCTCTTGATCGTCTGCCCTCTTAATTTTTTCTAGAGAAAGATCACATGACCCCTGCTTAAACACTATGCTTTCGGCTCTGTGTCTTGAAAAGTTTCCCAAGCTACCTTCATAGCGACACAGTCCTTCTCGGGGAGCTTGTAGTTGTCCGAAACATCTGCCAAGCCGAAGCAGTTGTACTCCTTGAAGGCCGCCTCCATCGCTTCTATCTTGCCAGAATAGAGCTCCGGATGGTCCTGGGCGCAACTTCGGCAAAAACTAGGGTTCGGGGGTAGCTGGAGGACGAAATTCATTATGATAAAATCACTAAACCCCTTATCTTCTTGCCAGGGAAATTGGGCTTTATAAGAAGTTTCTACGAGCAGCTGCGCAGTGTATGTTGCCAGTCACTGGTACTTGCTAGCATGGAACGACCTATTACTGAAGCAATAAAAAACGAATAAGAATATGATTTATGAAGTCGCGCTTCAGCCATCAACTCAAGGGCGCGTTGGTGAAATCGTAGGGACATTTGGAGAATGTTCTTTCTCTGTCGGTCCCCAGCTTGCGCTGACAGCTGCATGTTCCGGTAATTGTACTCGTGATGCTGCCTCTTCGTGAAGACCACACGGATGTTCATCACAGAGCAAAGCCACCTGGTGTATGAATTATTTGGCGGACATTTTCCTAAGTTAGGGGCCAGGAAGTATAGGCATCCGTCCTGAATTCCTTTTGATGGAGACTCTGAGCTTATCTAGAAAAATTGGAAGCAACTTTCAGGCAGGTGATGGGAAGTGTCAGGTGCGAGATTAAGTAACGTAAGATACCTCTTAAGATAAGTCACAGAATTCAACAGTATTGGGAAAGACAATTCAATCCACTTGCAATTCAACGATGACTGATGGACGGGTCTTGCATGAAGCTTTCAATTCCAAGCTTACGATCGAGCCATCTATAGGATGTATTATGGGAAACAAATAATGACGCAGGTCGCGCGTATGGGGTGGTTCGGGTTTTACATATGGGGGATGGACGTGGTTTCTGGTCTCGCGTATGGGGATGGACGTGGTTTCTGGTCCCGCGTATGGGGGATGGACGTGGTTTCTGCTCCCGCGTATGGGCTGGAGCTCGTCATGGACGTGGTTTTGCCAAAACCAAGTCGATGAATTCCACCCCTGCTTCCCGCTAATATGTTGAAAAGTCTTATCATGAAATATACGATTTTTCTATTCAAACCAAATCGATAAATCATGTTGGAATCAAGATGATTCATCGATTGGGTTATCCGGAAACCACAACCACCAGCCTTAGCGACCCAAAACCCAAGTCGATGAAAGCTATTGCGGGAGTTTTCTTCCCGCTATGTCCCTGGTCATGAGGGGTTTCGCGCCGCTATAGTTTATGGACGTGGTTTTACAATAACCAAGTCAATGAAATTTTTCTTCGGGAAGTTTTTTCATCGACTTGGTTTGGTTGGGGGTCATGTTATTTCGGCCACCCAGAAACCCTACTGCCTTGCATCTCTGAATTATGTTAAGAGTCGGTTGAGGATAATCATGTTGGGCATCGGCAGCACTAAGGTTTTTAAGGTTGACTGTTACTTCCTGATAGCCCCGAACATATTACTGACCCCAAATCCCTTCACCCTTAAATCCTAGACCCTGACAGCTTCAGCCCTCAACCCTCAACAAGGTTTCCACCCTAAACCCTGAATCCTACGTCCAATTACCGCCCATAAACCTTGCAAATGGAAGGGACAACTCAATATCTGAGAAGTCCACTTCGTGAAGCCCTCTTTCTCGCTCTCTGTGAAGCTTGCAGCATCCTCAACCGTCAACATTTGGCAAATGGCGAAGGCGATGATCGTAGCTCGGGTGTAGCCACGGCAGAGGCTAACACTGAAGGCCACAAGCCGATCCCCGGGAACTAAAGGCTTCTGCGAGCTGGACCGAATCTCCAAGGGTTCACGTTCATTTTCCCAAACGTTCCATATCGGAACCGCAAACTTGGCCCAGGTGACCAAAGGAGGGGCTTTGTCAATGGGCAGGGGCAAGTACAGTGCTGTGAAAGGGATGAGGTCAGGCACGCGCTCTGCTGGGAACTGGTGCGTGTCAAGAAGCACCTGACCAGTAGAACTATCACTTGACAAGTAAGCTTAAAACGGAACATCAACAAAGCAAACATGGAAGCGACAATTTCATGCACCTCGCTCTGGCCGTTCGCCGTCAACCAAGCATTGATCACTCGAACAATCGAACCATCGGCGCGTGCCCCGAAGAAGCTCTCAACCAAGGAGCATGGATGCTGATCAGCATCGACGTTGTAAGTTCTTAGTACAGGTCGATAATTCGTAAAAACGTAGAGATACTACTGTCACGATGGATGTTGTGACTGCACGTGGTGCGCCAAGCCACCCCAAGGCTGCGACTACACGATCGACCCAACTGTCTCCCTTTGCCTTCTTGGTGGCCGCTTGGCCAGCACTGCGACCGGGCCGTTTGCCCATGCTAGTCTGTCCCTCTCTACTTGAAGCGTTGCAGCCTGCACTAAGCCTGCTACACAGGAGTGCTGAAGTGACGAGAGCAAATCGAAAACTGGAATCTGCATGAGGCATGCCTGCGCAAAAACCACAAGTAAGTACCACTCAAAATATCAAGTCCGCATGGTCTTAGTGTTTTTCCTGCAGCAGTCGCACGCTGTACAGAGGAGACTGTCTAATTAAGTCTTCATTCGTGCTTTCTACGAGGTTGCCCTTAAGGGCTATTCCTTGACAGGGGAGGTGCCAGGAAGTGCATGTGAGAGTGTTCGGCTATTACAGATTTCATGCCTGGAAGCTTCGTCTCTCCCAAGGCCCCTCAACCTGAAAGTCACAAGGGCTCGACAAACAGGGCCACAAGCAGAATTATTGCACCTGCTTGAGCAATGTGCATACTGTTCCCTGCTAGCCCGCTAATCTTGCCCAAAGAAAGGCCGGAGATATCAACCATTGGGGAGCCTGCTGAACGAGCCTAGGCTGGATAAGCTCCATGATTTCTCATACCAGGGACTGTTCGAAGGCTAGTGGTTCAAAAGGTTTCGGGGCCAATTGGGGGACCATACGACTTTGACATCGCTAACGGAATGTTGGAACACGTTTTCCCGGTTCCCAGACATTCAGCAAAACTGGGACGACAAAATATTCGAGCTCAAGATAGTATTTGGAACATTTTGTAATTATGCAGGCAAGACTCCTATGGCCTTTCGACTTACTGCTGCCTAGTTGGGAACTCGGGCATATAGTACAGCGCTTAGAGTCTACGGTTAGCGGTAACTATATAGGGAATATGGGAATGTACCATGTAGCATTCGTATAGGGGTTCTACTCCCTTAGCCCCTATTCAGAACCAGTTATTCTTCCAGTTCTCCTTGTTTGACAAACCTGCATTGCGCAGACTGAGGCCTGTCAAACACAATTGATCGATGGCGATTGTTTACTTACTGTAGGGCCCTCTTCATCAAAGTAAGGGTTTGGTATACGGCACTTTAGCGCAATGTACATTTCCTTATTGAATAGTCTACATTGCATCAAGCTTACTGCGCATAGAGTAACTTGGGCTTGCGAGCTCACAGCCTGAAGCTGTAAATCCTTCGCCTCCGGCTCCCTGTTTGGTTTTTTTAATTGTAGTCCCTACCATAAGGAATACCTTGTCCATATCCCTAAACCTTAGACCCTATATTACCAGATTGGGGTATAGAAATGGGAGGAACTGAAATAGTGATGATAGGGTCCGGACGTTCGGTAGAGTGTGTCTTCCTGAGCTTCTGAGGACGATGCGCGTGATGCAGGCCTACGAGGATTTATAAGGTTTAGGGACTTGGGCTTAAAAGATTGGACCTCGTGGAGGAAATGTGTCTCCGGCTTTGTAGTCTAAATCATGATGCCAGACCCATACATTCTAAGCAACCGACCCCTAAACGCAAGCCTGTAAACTTCCTAAGCCCAAATCCCAGACCCCAACAAAATACTATGTCAGGCAGCCACATGTCAGCACGAGTGTGGCAGATTAGTGAACGGAGTCTCGAATCGTATTCCCATGTTGTCTTAGGTACAAAGTGAAGTGGCCTCGAGATCCTAAAGGCGAACATGCGAAAATTGTCTGAAAGCTTCCAAAGTGTTCCAAAACCAAGCTGCGCTGTGGGAGGCTGAGCCCTCAACCCTATACCCCAAACTCTTAAAATTCTAAAAGCTTAAACCCCAAACCCTGAACCCTAACACTCTGAAGCGTAGGCAGGTGACTGAAGTAGGCGTTGTGGGGATACCCATAGCACTCATCAGCTCTTCACCCACCATACACCGATTCTTGACCGTCGAGAAGATTGCTTGACTATTTCTCTTGAGCGTAAGAAGAGTACCGTCAACGAGCTCGGTGCGATGACGGTTGCTGCCTGTTTGGCTGAGGTCATAGACCTGTGCAGGATTTCAGGATTTTGGGATTAGGCTTTGGGTTTAGGGTAGGGATGTCCCTTATGAAGCCTCGCACACAGGACTTGAAACTTGGTGATGAGGTTTTACATTTTCTAGAAACCGAGTCCCAACCTGCTTGCGGCCTTTGAAGGCCTCATCATACTTGCGCTTGGCTTTGCAAGCCGCTGCAGTCAGCGGTTGAGGAGGCACATCCTTGTAGAAGAAATCCTGCGCCTAGGGTTTTCAGGGATGCTAGGCGGTCAACGTTAACTTCGCGAAATTGTGGACATGCTTTTTTTACTTTCGCCAAGTAACACACATTTTCGGGGCAGCGAAGAAGGTGGTGATGAGTTCGTCCAAAGAATGCCGGGTGGTCCACTTTGCTTTCTGTTTATGGACCAAGACGACCCACAAACGAGCTCGCGCCGACCCGAACCCAAAGAGTCTGGAGCAGATCTTCGTAGATCTGATATCATAGTACTCACCTTCATTCAGCAACAGAAGCTGTCTCAATCTGACGCAACACTAGACCCCGAGGTGCGAACCAAACTTCTCAGCCAAGATGGCCAGGGTATAGTAAGGGGTGTTCTCAAAAATGATCACGTCCTGTCTGAGACTCAAGTAAACGATTACAGACGGACACAGTTGCACTGGTTTCTGGCCTCCATATGCTTTAAGCGCATGTCGTACCACACCAAGTGGCTCTGGAATGCTGTGTCGTCGGTCTCAGGGGACAACAGGGGCACGGGCGAGGGCGTGAGGACAAGTAGGCACAGGGACAGAGCCAGGGTAGTTGGATAGTGGCAAACAGTCGTGAATAGACTGAATGAAGTGTAGCTTCATTTTGCTAGCAGCATCCGTTCCCGTCCCACCTTCTTCCGTAAGCCCGCAAGTGAAAAGGGCGTACAACTTGCTCCCGCAGCTTCCACCCTGAGACGGGCCCCTGCCCGGTTTTCCGTTGCCATAGGGCAGCGTTTACCGTGCGCCCAGCAATAAGCATGCGTCAGCAACCTGCCATCATGAGGGTGGCGCCATTTCAGCACATCGCCGAACCTCAGCTACGTGTAGCTGATGTAGAGACATGTGCAAAAAAGTTCCCGCACATGTGCGCACACACAAAACCAAGTCCCCAACACGCAGCGCCCACGCCAGACTTTTTTCAGCACGCCCTGCGCGTGCTTGCAAAAGTCTGCGGCTGGTCCAATCTTCATTGAGCAGTGGGGCATCATGCCCGCTGCCGTCAGAGCAGCCCGGGCCACTGTCTCCACCTCTGTGACAAGAAACGCCGAAGCCCAGCAAGTAACAGTTATGAGTACTTAGCCACTAGCCAACTGCCTCCCAGGGGCACTCTTCGCAGCCAGTTCCACACAACCCAGGCCGGTAAACGTAGTTGTAAGGAACCACGTCATCAGCGCAAGCTTCTGCAACACAAGCTGCTGTCCCCATCTACGGCTGGCTGCGTCCAAGAACCTTGCACGCAAACTGAACATGATTTTCCCCATAATGTGGCTTACTTCTCAAAAAGCGTTCCGATTCAGCAGTTCATCATCGATTTGTCGAGCCTCTTGGGCCAAGTGAACTGCTCCTCTACGGTGGCAGGACCTCCTGGTCCCATCGCAGGCGGAAAGCTTGTACCATAGACTGGACCGACACGTGGAGCACGTGCTGTCTGTGTTACGTTGTTGCCCTTCGCCTTCGGCCTTGCCCTGGGCTTCCCCTTCACGTTGGCGGCATGTTTCTTGCTGGCAGTGGCTTTAACCTCGGATGCGTATTCCTAACGGCCTGTTATCAAAAAGCTGCGAGTGCTTCAATAAGAATTCGCAAGCTCGTAGCCTTGCATCCCCATAGCGTTGTCTGCACAAGTTCCTTAAAAGAAGTCTTCGAGGTGGCGCCGGCACTTCTTTTCTGAGATGAGGAGGACGACCAGCGGCTTGCTAGCTTGCATTGTTTTTAGTGCATGGCGCTTTTCAGCTACGTGCTGGGGCCCAAACCTTTCAGGTTTCAGCCTTTCCTCTTCAGAGTCAGGTGCATCCTCACCCAAAAGCCTGGCCATCTCATCATCCACCATCATTGCACACAGGGGGGACTTTCAGAAAGAGGACCTGAGAGGCCCTGAGCCCTAAAGCTGAAATAAAAATCACATGGTAGTTTTGCTTGAAACTCGAAGCGATACCACGGACCTGAAACGAAGCTCGCGATATCGTTTTGCAATCTCTCCTCACTCACAATTCCCCACGCAGAAACTTCGGTGTGCTAACACCGATGTTTCCCGTACCCGACTGCAGCCAGATTCAAGGCTACTTTGCTGACTAATGACTAGCAGACGCTGAGAACCCTAATGAACCCTTACCCATAAAGCCCGAACCCTAAACTGCGTGATGTCTAGATTCCTGTTTTCCATACGGTTTTTGCTCCGTGGCTAACAGCTTCAAGTAAACAACAGGAGTAGGAGGCGAGCTCTCACTCGCGCTTTAGGGTCGCCTTGAATCTAGCCACTGGAAACAAAGTCAAGTATGTGTTGACAGGCGTGTTCTCCAAATACACTAGATTGTTCTCATGACTCTCCAAATGCCAGGGCAGTGGAAACAGATCGCCTTCGGCAACAGATCCACCCTGGGCTGCTCGGATTAAATATCTCACAGTCCTGTGCCTCTTTCGGTTCTCTAAGAGGACAGAGGCAAGGTCGGCCCAGTTTCTGCGGCGTTCCAGGGACAAAGGGTGCAGGGGGCGTTTTTCCCCGGGCAAAGGAGTGCGCAGCCTACCTCGGAAACATTCCGGCAGCACCAGTACAGGTCGCTGGCAAGGGCTTTCATCACTTGCATAGCGTTTCAAGTTACAGATCACGTCCATATCGGATGGGATCAAACCACGTGATCCTCGTCCGGAAGCGTCAATCTTCGTCCCAGTCGGCATATCTCAGCCGTAAGGCTAAGGATGATGAGAGTAAAAGAGGGGTAGGTGTTGCCGCTACAACAATTTGCAACAAGGTGAAATGCACATGGAACTAAAGTATACTCCCCCTTATTGACTACAAAGAATATGGTTTTGGGTATTATAAATCC